CCTTCCTGAGTTTCATCTATCAACACTATATCGTCTGCGAAAAGCATACACCAAGGAATATCATCTTGAATATGTCCTGTTAACTCATCCATTACCAACGCAAAAAGGTAAGGACTTAAGGATGAGCCTTGATGTAATCCTACAGTTATGGGAAAGCTTTCGGTTTGTCCTTCATGAGTTCTTACGGCGGTCTTTGCTCCTTCATACATATCCTTTATAGCTTGGATATATGCTACTCGTACTCCTTTCTTCTCTAAAATCCTCCAAAGAATGTCTCTTGGGACCCTATCATACGCTTTTTCCAAATCTATAAAGACCATGTGTAAATCCTTTTTCCCATCTCTATATCTTTCCATCAATCTTCGTAAGAGATAGATTGCCTCCATGGTTGAGCGCCCTGGCATGAACCCGAATTGGTTGTCCGAAACCCGTGTCTCTTGCCTCAATCTATGCTCAATGACTCTCTCCCAGAGCTTCATTGTATGACTCATTAGCTTAATACCCCTATAGTTCATGCAATTTTGTACGTCGCCCTTATTCTTGTAGATAGGCACCAAAGTGCTCGTTCGCCACTCATTTGGCATCTTCTTCGTTTTCAAAATCCTATTGAAAAGGTCAGTGAGCCATGTTATACCTGTCTCTCCCAAAACTTTCCACACACTTCGATTGGTATATCGTCTGGGCCTATTGCTTTTCTATGCTTCATCTTCTTCAAAGCTACAACCACTTCTTCCTTCCGGATTCGACGATAAAAGGAGTAGTTTCTACACTCTTCTGAGTTACTCAACTCCCCTAAAGAAGCACTCCTTTCATGTCCTTCATTGAAAAGATTATGAAAATAACCTCTCCATCTGTCTTTAACCGCGTTCTCTGTAGCAAGAACCTTTCCATCCTCATCCTTGATGCACCTCACTTGGTTTAGGTCCCTTGTCTTCTTTTCCCTTGCTCTAGCTAGTTTATAGATATCCAACTCTCCTTCTTTGGTATCTAGTCGTTTATACATATCGTCGTAAGCCGCTAACTTAGCTTCTCTGACAGCTTTCTTCGCCTCTTGCTTCGCTTTTCTATACCTTTCACCATTTTCATCGGTCCTCTCCTTGTATAAGGCTTTACAACATTCCTTCTTAGCCTTCACCTTTGTTTGTACCTCCTCATTCCACCACCAAGATTCCTTTTGGTGTGGGGCAAAGCCCTTGGACTCTCCTAATACCTCTTTTGCTACTTTTCGGATACAACTAGCCATGGAATCCCACATTTGGCTAGCTTCCCCCTCTCTATCCCACACACATTGGGTGATTACCTTCTCTTTGAAAATGGCTTGTTTTTCTTCTTTTAGATTCCACCATCTAGTTCTTGGGCACTTCCAAGTCAGAGCACTTCTTTTTTAATCGCGACATATAAATTTCTAATCGTCCCCAAGTTTGACTAGAAGTAGAGTGGTGCACAGAAAGAAGTTTTAATCAGCTGTAATTTGATCCTTCTCTTATTAGTACTACATACAATAACTTTAACTGCCTACTCTCTATGTAATATCCAAACCAACACATGAAAGAAAGGGATCGTTACAGCTCACTGGAAAAGACAAAGGCTACCTGAACAGGACCTTATGAAATATCATTTAGTTTTTTAACAGAGACCTAGTCTTCCCCATCTCGGTTGAATATAGGTTTCGGGAGGTTTTAACAATTTGGTAGGAGTCATACTAGATATAGGGAATCCCTGGTTTTTGTCTTGTATCAACGTGTTTCAAGTTAGAGGCTGACCTTAAGTCCAACCTGATCTACTTAATTGGGCTCAATGCAAATTTCTCTTTTGCAGACAGCTTTGCACGGGCTTAAAAACAGAAATTTGGATAGAGAGCTTTATGAACAGAAACTAGATATGCAATGGAGGCGAAAAAGCAATCTACCTAAAATGTAAACATGAATTTAACAGCTAAGCATGGTGAAGGTATTAAATACCGACGCTTTCAAAACACATATATAACAACACAATTTTGTTACTGAAGAAATTAGACTCTAATGGCGGACAACTTGAATGGTACGTATAAAAGGAAAGCTTAATGTATGGACTATGGACTATTGAATATGAAATATCGGTTGCATGAATACGAGAAATATCATCAACACAATATAACTGTTATTCCCTAGTCCATGGGGTCTACTATCATCATTGAATAGTTAACGGAAATCAAAATCATGAAAAGTAGGACTTACATAAACAGAATTAAGTTCAGACTGGAACAAAAAGCATAAACAGTATTAAGCTAAAAAAGGATATCCAAATGCTTTAACAAATTCGGATGAATACAGTTATGAGCTACTATAATGGGATTGTCACACTCATTCAAAACATGTATCAACCTAAGAAGAGATGACAATCATTACCTGCAAGTCCAAAAGGTTGTAAGAATTGCCAGCATCATCTTGGGTCAAGGGCAAGTCAGGAGAACATCTCCACTGCCCATCAACAATAAACCTATATTGGTAAACACCAGATGGCAGTACCTTCATAATAGTGAAGTCCTTCCCTGATCTCTGCAAAGCCAATCTGAAAAACAAGATAGAATAAAGAACTTAGGCAAGAGTTCACGTAGTGCAAACTATACTCATTATCTAGAATACTTATTATTCTTTCTTTTATTTTCAGGAACCTTGTCTTCCAATTATCCCATGATCCCTCCACAGCTACATCCTTCCCACCATAGCTCCATGTAATCATAGTTGGAATTCCTTGCTCACAGCACATGTCTTCAAACCCCGACGTTTGCATCCACGAGCTGTTTGGAATTTGTATCTCATCTGGTCTTTGTAAGGGAACGACAGGGACCTGGAAAAAGAAGACGATAATAATAATTGAATAAGAGGAAGAAACTTATGGATCGATGAAGATAAAAAAATAAGAAAATACATCAGCGTGGGTAACTGGCAAGAGTACAAGTAAGGAAAACGTTTTCAGGGAGTTGACTGAGTTTATCATATATAGTTGAGCAGAAAGCAGATTACCAATGGGTTGGTGCACAATGGTATTTCTAAAGGATCTTAACATTAAAACTTTAAGTGTTAGTATTGCACGAAGAGACAGATTCATGTCAAACTGATATCCCAATTTCAGAATTAGAGGAGGAGGAGGAAGGATGTTGGAATCAAAGTTTATTACTAGGTTTCACGCAATGTCTCCCACCGATTGACCACTCATTTTTCAGTTTCTGCTGCTACAATGATCCGAAATTCATACCCTCACGGAAAACCACAAGTCAAATCTCTGTTTTTGGTAATACAATGATCCAAAATACAGACTTGTCACAAAGAAACAAGAAATTGTATGATTTGGCCGCCTCTCAGCAAGATATCAATAAAAAGGAAAGAACAATTGCACAGCATAATTCACACAAGCAATTCTAAGCTGAATCATAGAGGCCCCCAATTCTACGAAAAAAGCAATTCGATGGCAGTTGGGTAAAATCTGAATCTCCGTGGAAAATTTAAGAAAAGCAAAAAACCTTGAAACCAAGTGACATGAGGAAACAGATGAGGAGAGAAAAAGGAACTGACTTGGGGAGTGAACATCAAAGGGGAGTGAGTGGCCCTAGGGCTATGAGGAGGCGATTGACCCATCAACTCAGCGGACCCATCAACAAGACGGGCGCCGTGGGCAGGGCCCTCCTGCAAGCTGCCGGCGGCACCGCTATCTTCCTCGGCCGCTGAGGGGCTTCCATCCCCATCTTCTCTCCCATTCACATTCCCCATCCCGATTGCTTGGATATGACCTCTGCTAGCAACAAGCACCAACCGACGAGAACGAAATTACTGATGCATAATAATACCCACTCTGCAGAATTGGAATCCAATCTCATATGATGAAACCTTAAATCCCACAAAGCTCAAAAATTTGATTGATTGGGCGTCAAAACTCAAAAAATAGAGCCCAACAAAGACAACCCCGTTTTTATATATTATATAGAGAGAGAACGAGAGAGAAGGAAGGGGAAGGGAAGGGAGGAGAAAGAGGAGAGAGAGAGAGAGAGAGAGAGAGAGAGAGAGAGAGTATTACATTAAGAAGAGGGGGCACTTAGCAACAACAACACAAAGGGGAAGGTGGGGCAGGGCGGGCAGATGGAAAGAAGAAAAGTGAAAAAACGAAGGGAATGGAAATTAGTTGATTGATGAGTAATGGTAATGGTAATGGTAAAGGTAAATTGGTATAATGAAAGAAGAAGTAATAATCTCCGATGAGTTTGGAAGATGGAATGCTACTCCAATCATGTTGTTGGTTTAATGGAGGAAATGTTTTTCACATCATATATATTTTTACAAACCCCTTTTAATAAAGGACAAATCAATTTATTAGGTTGTTAATGTTTATTAAGATCTATTTAGTTTATCGTTTTTCTTATACAATCATCATCATTGTCATTCTCCTGTCTATATTATATTTATATCAAATTAAACAAATTTTAACGGTTATACATTAATAACTCAATGAGTTCTTTTGTCACTTTTACATTATTTTACCTTTAATCGAAGCCTTTCTCTCCCTCCCAAAACTCACTTCCCACAACACTTTGAGTTGACGACACTCTTTAATCATCACACTGGGTTATAAAATCAACAAATAATTGTGTTTTGGTTTTCATTTTGGGGTTTTTATTATTTTTTATTATTATTATTTTTTTTTTGGGTAAAGTGGGTTTCTTTCCTTTGAGTTTGGGGAATGGACTTTTCTTTCCCATTAGATTAATTACCAACGCATACATGTAGAAATAAATTTGGTGCTCAGAAGCAAAACAAAAAGGACGCAAATGTGAATAAAATCACTTGATTAGGATAACATAATCATTCACCTTCACTTTGAGTTTGAATATCGTAAATCAAAATAATAAGGTAAAGAACAAATATAAAGTTCGTGTCTTAAAAGAAAAAACGAATAAAAGTGAGAGAGAGCGTATTGGGCTGGGTTGGGTTGGGCTTTTTGACATAGATTAACTAGGATCCAAAAGGTCACATAGGTAAGCCTATCTCAACGTCCCCTAATTTGTAGACAAGAGGCCTCCACCTCGTAAAGCGACCTGAAAATCGGGAAAAGCGGCGTGCGGCATTCGAGCAAACCGATAGCGAACTAGAGCGGCAGCCTCGCGAGTCTGCTTTGTTTCATCGTACGTTGTGTCCCTTGTCCACTTCAATTCACTGTTTTTGCTCTTTCTTGTTTTATTTTCTGGATTTTGATTACTGGTTATGGTTCAAATCATTAATCATTTGCTGTGTTTAAATTGAAATGCTGTTGGGCTTTGTCCCCATAGTTTTCCGCTTTCTTTGATAAAAGCAGTCTACTTTTAACTAATCAAGTTCTAGGAAGGATTAATAATACAAAGCAGTCTACTTTTAACTAATCAGGGGGATTTGAGTTAGTGTTCAAAATCCTGCAATTAAAGTTTCATAGCCCAGATGTACTTTCTCAGAGACAGGAATCTAAAGCTAGAAGCTTGTAGCTTAAGAGTATTTATTCTGCGCGTAGGTCGCGAGTTCGATTCTCCGTCCCACCCCCAATGCTGCATTCCTTAATCCTTACATGTTGATGTCTCAAATTGTCACAATCTTGATGCTTTCTGCATTTCAATATCAGATCTTTTCAACATGCAAAGCATTAGGAATTCCATCTTGTGGCATGTGAGGGTAGGGAGTTCAGCCGACAAATGTTTGCCCACCGAGAGAGGACATGTGATCAAATCTCTGAGCCGCCACATGTGTGCAGCAGCAGGTGCCGGCGCTGATCAAATAAAGGACCGAGTTATTAAATTGGTGAAGAAATTTGACAAAATTGATGCATCTAAGGTAGTCATCTTATTTCATTCCTACTGTTTTTGTTCAATTGGTTTCTCTGTCATTAGAGGACATCATGTTAAGTAGTTATTAAATTTGATCCCTCTACAGGTTACTGAAACCGCTGATTTCCAAAAGGACTTAAGCCTGGATAGTTTAGACAGGGTCGAGCTCGTAATGGCGTTTGAGGAAGAATTCTCCATTGAAATCCCTGAAGAGAAAGCCGATAAGTTGACCTGCTGTGCTGATGTTGCAAGATACATAACTTCTGGAGCTGAGCAGAAGTGTGTTTAGTCCTCTGCCTAATTTCCATTTAGGATATGATTTCTGTGTTCAAAATGTCTTTTTGGGATTTTCACATGACATTAATTAACCTTATTTTAAAGCTATAAAAACGTAGGTAAAACCTTGAGACTGATTAAGATCACACCTCTCAATTCGCATATCTTATATCATATGATATTCATCTCCCGAAGCATTTACATACATGATATCTGTCATTATGCTAATACTTCACATCCGATGAGTAGAATTGGTTCAAACCCCTGTATCTCAGTGTTGCTATACTTCCTCTTTTTGTTATTTTTAAGTGGATGAATCTATCTTCGCACTTTTCCTATAAACGTATATACATAACAGTACGATGAGTTCAAACCCTTGCATCTCAATGCTGTGACTGAAGCGCCATCCAGGATCCCGGTGTAATATGCAATGGATCTGTATGATCACATCTGATTGTTGCTTGCTTCCTCCACGCATGCTTGTGAAGGTTTAGAGGTCAAATGCTGGAACCTTATCCTTCCGGCGGTGTAGGTTCGGATGCCATTACCAACCGACGATAGTTTGAGTCCTTTGTGCCTCCTGACAGAAGCTGGTCGGCATTGTGCGTTCTTTGGTATCCCAAGTACTCTAACACAACATGTTTTGTCCAAGTTGGGAATTGCATGTAGATTGGAAGGAAGATCAATCATGAACTCCCCGAATTCATCTGTGACGCCTTGTGCCAAACTGGATTTTCTTCTTCTCCCACTAACACGGCAATTGACAGACACCAAAGCTCCTGCAGATTTTGTAGTTAATTGGAAAAGGAATATTAGAATTAATGGAAATTGTAAATTAAATTATCATAACCTGACTTAATTACATGATTCTATCTCATTGAGCCAAGTATATAGCGCTTTCACTTATTTTTTTTCAGCTGAATGGTTGCTTTCGGTGCAATTATATCCCCGAATTAAAAAATATACCACAAAATGTGTAAAGCAACGTTTTTGCTTTTCATCTAAGTCAAATAAAGTTTAGCTTAATTAGCGTTACAAAGTTGATCGTGAATTTCTTTCTGTAAGGTCCATATATAGTTGTTGGATGATAGTATATAGTACTGGTATAATTTGTATTAGTATATATTATATTTTCGGAAAGCTTGAATGAATATTTGTCCCTAGAGAAATCCATTAACTATGTTATATGTCCAAATCAATTAGGAGAAGGAGAAGTTAATTTTCACTAGTCCAACGTGAACATCAAAATGTCAGGTGATTGCTTTAATTTAAAGAGCAGTTATTCGCAGAGAGAGAGAGAGAGAGAGTGTGTGTGTGTGTGTTTGTGTATTGAGAAAATCATCAAAACATAACGAAGGTGGTGGCTACATATATAATATTGTGTTTGATAGCAAGAACTCTTGGGAGACCTCTTAATTCAAATTTTAGTTTCATAATCCTATCCTATATCAAGTTGAACTCGGATCCATTTCAGTTCAAACCCGCCAGATTTTACTTTAAACTTTTTCCTGTAACTCATTCTTATTTCATAACCCTAAAGTTCAAACTCACAAACTTATAAATTATTGACATGCTGAGCTTGGATTCCTCAGCTAATATGTTATTAATCTGAGATTATGAACTAATAAGGATATATCTTAGTAAAAATTAAAGGACGAAAAGGGAGCTGTACTAGTGGTATTATACTGTAGGAGTGGCTAGTCTAAATTGTTGCCATGTAAATAGCTGGTGATATATAATGCATGCATGAACTTTAACAATAAACGGTTAATATTTGTCACAGAATGGAAGAGACAAAATCAAGAGCACGTGAGCACGTACGCAATTAGCTGCATGACGTAGGAAATTAATCTATATATGCTGCAAACATATATATTTAGATTCGTATGTAGATATATAGAGCTATCAGGATTGTTAAGATACAAACCTGGTAGAGGCCATGCATGACGATGAAGCTGATGATCACGATCAGTTTGATCAGAATGCAAACTATTCAAATTATTACGATTAATACAAGCCTCCTCGCAATGGACTGAGCCTGTAATAAGGACGGTGGAAAGCTTTTCTTCTCCATATCCAGCAACCTGCATCATATCTTCTTGGCTGGACATGAGCTGCTCTAACAGGTCGTTATTCATTTCATCACCAATATCCTCCATCGCCGTTGAAATTGATCGCGTTATGAGGCTGCTGCCGATGATCAACAAGTTGAATAAAATGATGTAGCTCATCTTGACAAGCTTGTTGCAGCCGCAAATATTGTAGTAGCTCATCTTCTTTGTGTTTCCTTTACGTGAGTTGATCATCAGTCCTCCTCCCTTGGCTTTGGTTTTATAGAAAGCTAATGCCCTCGCATTGGTCGCACTTAAATTCCACATAATGCCCTCAATAGAAGGTTAATATTACGTACCTTCGCAGTCCTTGTCTCCTACCTACATCCTGATAGAGTTACCCTTTTGCCCTCTAAATAGACAGATCTCTATTAGGGGTGGTTCGGTATGGGATACCGAACTGAAACTAGTATCCCGAATTCCAAACCGAAATTTTTCGGGACAGGAATTTGAAGACCAATTCGAAACCAAATTTTCGGGAATCCCGAAATATTTTCGGGATTTCGGGACAAATCGGGAATCCCAAATTAAAATATGAAATTATGAATTATTCTTCAAATATATAATTCAAGAACACATTCATGAACTAGGAATGTCATTTCATTCACACTACCATTTAATCGAACACTGGCATGCTTGACTGCTGCTTTTATCAAGTCAAAATTCAAATTAATTAAAACCCTTTTGGCAATATGTTGAGAGACAAAAGAATCAAGCCTTCTAAAATCATCAGCCATGATAGCAGCAATAATAAAATCCAAATGAATATCAAATAGAACATGAAAAATATGCAAGGTGTAGTGCATTCCTGGTTGCAGAGCATGAATTAGAAACAACTAGCATCAATTATAAAAGAATAATATATATCATATATATGTATAAATATATATATAATTAATAATATATATTTTCGGTTCGGTATGGGATTCTCGAAATATCGAGAAGCCAATCCCGAATCCGTACTGAAATTTTGAAATTGGTTCGGGAATTTCGGTTTGGGAAATTTTTGGTTTGGGATCAGGATTTTTTCGATTCGGTTCTGGATTTTCGGGAATTTTTTCCACCCCTAATCTCTATGCAACCTCGTGGGCATACCAACAGCCAAAAAGGTTGTGGTTTTTGGTCATTTGAGTAATGAAGATACTGCCACCCAAACAGAACAAAAGGTTATTCAAAGCAAGACGAAATGGAGGGTATATCTGTCTTAACGACCTTATACACATAATACATGAAAGGTTAAGGTGTAGAAAGGCAGAAGAAGTAGGAGAGGTGGACGGGAAGTTAATTTGTTGGTTGGTAGCCTACTCTTATCTTCTACGTATTCTTTTGTTAATCAGATTTTAAGCACAAAACAAAATCCGTTTACTAAGATTAAATTAATTAATTAAGCAACACACACTTACGTCTCAGAAGTCATCAACTTGGAAGTAAGGCAGTTTGCAAGGGCACTTCCCTCCCTCCAAATATATATTAAGGAACATACATATTGGATAGGTTTGATCCAAAACATCAACACAGATAATTTAACCTGAAAATGATCAAAAGGTTGGGGAACTTTAACCTAAGTTTAATCGATAGGAGAAATCTTATATCCAATACATAAACTTGTATAGTTGTATTCGTTTTAGCAAACTCAGAAAATTAAATAAATCAAAACAATTTTTCTGTTTGGGTGGGAGATCATTACACTTACTTTGCAACCCAACAAATCTGCGCTATGATATGAGTATATATATGTATAGGCTATAGCTGAATTAGTCTTACGTTCACAGGTAGAGCCATGCACGTTGATAGGAATAAACCTTCTATTTGCCTCAAAATAACATTAATATTCTCACATTGTTGGGAGATTGTTAACTGAAATTGTCAGTTGTTTCTTATCGTTGAACAACCTTCCCAAGCACATATACACATAAGAGAAATGCTAAGGGGACTCTTTAAAAAAATGGGACTCTTCATACTCTCTGCCATCCTACAGTTTAATGTCAATTTTATAAAACATTGTGCAAAAAACATGAGGTGACAAAGAATCCATAGAAAATTTCACTTTGAGAGATTCCCCTTAGCATTTCTCATAGACCAAATTTCCAAAAATGAAAAGTGATTTCTTAAATTCAGTGAAAGAAAGTAACCTGGAGATTAGAGAATGAAGCAAAGACTGAGAATGCAAAGAATTTATTTGTAATTCATGTGTTGCCTCTGATGCTGATGTTGATGTAATCAGCATCAAGATTGCGTAAATTCTAAAATATTTAGATGCGTAAATTCTAAAATATTTAGATGCATTTTAGAAACCTTTAATTTGTTTCTAACTCAAAATATATATTCCTAAAACATTGACAGCCACAATAATTTTATATTATTTTTCTTTCAAAACAAATATTATGGGATTTAAATGATTCTTGAATGTGACTCCTTAATGGTTGTAAGTTACACGAAATTTATGAATAAAAATGTCTTTATCATGAATTGTATTTTGTTGCATCACTTTCGTCCTTATCGTGAATTAAGATCATTTGTTTTCCTCTGCCAGTTTTAAACAAATACAAGGTCTTGCGCTGCAAATTATGATATATATTACAGCTATATATATATATAATTTTTTTTTCCCTACTTAATATATATATATATATATATTTTTTTTTTTCCTACTTAATAATTTGATATTTAAACTTGCAAATAGCGTCACAAAAACCATATTGTGTAGGTTGAGTCCTACATATAAATTGCAAAGTGACAGGCCATCTCATTATTTTGTTGATGGTTAACCAAATTAATGTGCAATTTAAGCTGCGATGGTTATGATGGTTAACCAAATTAAGAAGTGTGATTAGGACATGATGCTCCAATTTATTTTACTATTTAATCATACTTTTAAATTTAATACTGTCTTCTCAAAAAAATAAATCATCATTTAATCATACCTTTAAATTAAATATTGGCACCTCAACAAAATAAATCATACCTTTAATACTGATATAGATCGTGATAATTGTAGCACAAATATGAAAAAACTTGAGATAAATAAATAATCTTGATGATTGGATGGATGTAAACAGTGGATCCATGATCATCGGTCATCATATGTGCATATTACACAGGGGAGTTGGGGTCCTAGTCCTGCTACTTGTAACTGCATGATGAATTGGAATGTCCTTCAAACGTAAGGCTGACGCAAAAAAGTCTCAGCCTCAATTTATGTACAATGCCCTACATTGTTTTGGTTTTGATTTGCTTGTAATTATACTTCGTCAAGTTGAATGGGGTTTAAGTACCCTTCCACAAGACCTATAAACTCTTCTTCTTTTTTTAAACAAATCGATATTATCTACACTAAGGGAAGGAGGGTGGGCTTAGCATCACAATGGGCTAGCATAAATTGGTTCAAAAGTCGCATTTGGCGAGAATTGAACCTAAGACCTCTCACTAATCAGTGAGGAGGAATCCCACTAGACTGTAGTACTAGTGGCAAGACCTATAAACTCTTATATGAGCTAAACTTTCCCACACCTTGGATTGTTATGTAACTTCCTAAATTAGTAATTATAGCCAAGTCAACAATGTATTATTGGCTTAGATTATTCTAGTTACATCCAACATTGTAAAAATCAGCCATAGTATAATACAGTATACTAGCTCAAAATCAATCAAACGATGGCGTGAAGAAAAATAAGCTAGAAAGATGAATGAGAACACTCCAATTTTAATTATTTGCACACAAATAGATATGCTACAGGAAGAAGAAAATACATAGCTCGTGTATTTTTGTTTCTCTCAAAAGACATCTCTTCCCTCTAATTCCAATACAAAACTAGACCTAATAGATAATACATAAAAAGATAGTTCTCGACACCGTCACACTCCTGGCACATACAAAATAAAAAACACAAAAATACATGGCCATTTAGTTTCTCCAAAACAACAACTGTATTATTTAAAAAATTTATGTGTAGTAGATGAGGAGAAAGACTTACATATAACAGATTTATCATCATATAACGTCTTTACTTAATTTACTTACATAGAACAAGTTCACCATCACATAACTTCTTTACCTAATTTATTGTCATGTGCAAATTTTTTTTATATTATTATATCCAAACACGACGTGTGAGCTTGTTTCATCTGTATACCATAAATGGGTAAACGTGTGAGAGCTTGAGCACAAGTCAGGTGTCAAAATCTTCTCGATAAACAAACGGCCCAAGACCATCGCACTTGTCACAAACCAAGCACTGTAAATCCCCCACAACACAACCCCATCCTAAGATTCGAGGTAGCTATAGCTAGCCATCACTCCTCCACTCTGTAAGTACAGTCCACCATCTCCAAAAGCATCAACTAGCAAATTTAGCAAATTATATTAGTATTACCATCCACTTTTGATGGCTAATATCCTAATAGATCGAGCACTTGTATCTCTGCCATCTCGTATAGCTAGCTAGTATATTGTCACGTAAAGAAAGTTAACATCATATATTTATGGCTGACTTGGATAACGACTCGGGAGGAGGAGCGAGAGAGCAGGACAGGTTTTTGCCAATAAACGTGATGACGCCAAAGAGACGTTGCAGGAGTGCATATCGGAGTTCGTCAGCTTCATCACCGGATAAGCCTCCGACAAGTGCCAGAGAGAGAAGAGGAAGACCATCAACGGCAACGATCTGCTGTGGGCCATGACGCCGAGGATTCGAGGAGTACGTGGTGCCTCCCAAGGTTTACCTCCACAAGTTTAGAGAGATGGAGAGTGAAAAGATGACTAGTAGTACTAGTACTGGTGCTGCTGGAACTGTAACTGGAACAGGAATGTCTGCAGGCCACGGAAGGCACTCTGATGAATATCATGATCATCAGAGAGAGCAGTTGCATGTGCATGGTCATGGTGCTGCAGCAGATAATAGTAATGGGATGCATGGTGGGGTGGTGCAGTCCACAACCATGATGATGATGGGTCATCAACAACAACATCAAGGTCATTTGTACGGATCCGGTTACAGACCCGCCACCGGGCATGGGAGACCAAGGTAGGGTTAATTTTGTTTATCCTCAATGGACAATGGCTAACACAATTGAAACTTCACAGGTTTCTTATATTTCAAATGCAATCCAAACTTAAATAAGATTTAACCGAACAAGTTTCCTTATCAATATAACCTTGACAAAGACTCGGAGTCGGAGATAATTTTTTTATAATTATTAAACCATGGTTCTGATTACATGGCGGTTGTTACACTGCATCAGTATACTTCAGAAAGACAAAAGGCAAAAATTATTTTATTTTCTGGATTACAAAGTAAACTCCCTTGCTTGATAATTTCCAGCACCGGCCAATGGTCAAACTCCACCATCTCTCCTGGGTGCCTTAGCCAAGAGCAAGTAGCTCGCCTTTTAATCAGAAAAAACGTGATGCACGTACTGGAGAAAATCCTGAACACTGCCCATCTATCTTTGTTTTGCATATATCATTGATGTATTTCAGAAACTCGTTTTTCTGGACAAATGGTTGGGCTGCGTACTCCTCAAATGGCATCCACTGCAAAGTAAGCATTTAAGCCATTACAAACAACTGTATGAATATACTTCAAAAGCTACATCTTTCCATTTTCTCTTATTCTCAGTCAAGATTTATACAGCACAGCAATTAAGTTTACAATACAGACAGACTTGAGCAGAGTCACGAACGTATTAATGTTTCAATGCACAATAAGCTATATTTGGGATAGTACAAAGTTTACAATACATTATGTTATACTTCAAGAGCTACATCTTTCCATTTTCTCTCTTCCAATGTTCTCATTGACTTTATCAGTATGTTTTACAAATGATGGAAGACACAATAAGATATATTTGGGAAAGTACAAAATACAAAATCTTTAATTTAGTGGAATTTCAGGGGCCTCGATGATCACAGTTTACTCCTTCTCTTGGGTGCCTTACTGCTATTCAAGTACAAGTAGCTCTTGTGAAGAGAATAACTTCTACTGGGTAGAGGAGAGAATCCCGAATACTTGCCATCTATCTTCGCTTTGCATATGTCATGCATGTACTTTAGAAGCTCGTACTTTTGGACAAATGGTTGTGCTGCATATTCCTCATATGGCATCCACTGCAAAATGCATTACGGACAAGCTTAATACCTACGAACGGAGTTCAATGCAGAAAGATTACATCGGATGGTGAAATAGGAAGGAAATTGGACCAATTGGTGATGACTTGACGAGCTATATCCATTCTAGTTTGTTAGCTCAACATAAGGGTTCGTACCTTGGCTGCTTCTATCTCTTGTTCCTGCTTCTGGATGTCAAAAGAGAGGGGCCGTAGCATGCACAAAAAGAATAAATCTGACTTCTCAAAGAATGACTTGTGACTCTCTCTGCAAATTACATGAATGGTAAGAAGGATATAATTTTCATTATAAAAGAGGAAAAGAATCAACAACTCAACATCAGAAATACTTAACGTGAATCGTACTATAGACTTAGAGAAAGGCAATGAGATGTGTCTCTCAATTTTCTAACACAATGCGGTCATTTTTTGCTGTCTGTGCAGTCCAAGGAATGTTCAGAAATCTTTAATCCCTATAATAGTCAAGATATCATGGCCTAAAATAGCTCTTATTGGAGCAAATTAAGAATTCTTGTTAATCCACAAATACCTACAAAAGTTGGATTAAACATTCAAATACAATGAAGATAGAACTCATCTATATATTGAACTGAGACATAAAATTTTGTTGTCGTGGTGCAGTCCATAAGAGTGAATGACATGCTTCCCCCTAAATACTTAGTTGGAATGTAGGTTCATGGTCGCAGGTAAAAATTGCAAATCATTGTACAAGGTAGTCGGATTTAAGTTTATAAGCTTATACATAGCTCCATCCAATTGATAATTTCATAGACAAGGACTTCATAAAATTCATACCTGAATGCAAGAACTTCCACAAACTCCGAGTCAATCTGAAACAACAGGATAACAAAAAACATGAAATGATAAATCACATTAATAATCTAATATATACACTCACTACACGGTAAGTCGGAAAACTACTTACTCCTGTTTCTTCCTTCACTTCTCGGACAGCAGCTGCAAAAATATCTTCTCCCTGGGAGATGATAAATTTTTCAATATACAGTTTAGACTAGACCAAACTCAAAAGATCTGAGAATGGGAAACAATGCTTGTTAGAATGCACACATGACACACCTCATCAACGGCTCCAGTAGGGAGCTTCCACAGACCTGTCCCACGATATTGTCCACCCTTTTCTTGGACTACTAGCACCTATCGTTCAAATTTCACAAACCCAAAAGTTTTAGCCATGACAGCAGGATCATGAAAAGCAATAAATATGGTGACAGGTATCAAGCATTGTAAGTAACAAGGCATTCTTCTGAAAATGGTTAACTGAAAACTAATAAATGGATCTCACATAACTCTTTAGACATGATAAGCCAATTGTAGGACTATGCAAGTCCAGAAAATTAATGTAGACATGAAAAATTCCCTCTTTAGGCATAATCTTAAAAGATTATTAGCCACTTACTCAGATGACTGTTCGATGGAAAGAACATAAACACACGCACACACAAATGAAGCGTGCAAGATGTGGAAACTGTAGATTTATAACTACATAAAGATAAAGGAGTTCCCTTACTTTGAGTAAACTAAATCAAATTGAAAGAAAGGAGCACTATGTGGACATTTGAGATAAACGTGATAATGGTGGCTGGGGTGTTAGAAATTGCATATACCTCTCTGTTTTGATTGATAAGAAAGGCACCAATTCCTACACGGTGTGTTGCATTTGTGGGAAGAGTATGAGGGGACTGAGGAATCCAATACACAAGCATCAAATAATCAGGCTCTGCATGGTGGTACCAGAATCCTTCCTGCAATTCACTCCTGCCCAATATATCATAAGTAATCTATACATATACAGAACACATTTGAATTATTAACATTAACAAGAAGAAGAAAAGCATGAACAGAATAGGAGCTTGACCTTGACCGCAGCTTCAACAAGATTGACTCGCTCTATTGGCATTTTGATCCAAATACCATTCTTTCCCTGCACAGATATCAATGCTTTGTTAAAACTTAAAATATACGATAAGAATCCCAATGAACCTGGGCTGGGCTAGGCTATGCCGACCTAAGGGTCTGTTTGGAACCGCTTATGCAAGCCTTTTTCTAACAAGTAAAAACGCTTATGACTACTTTTAGGCTTTTAGCAGAAAAAGATAAGTATTTAGTGTTTACTTACAGCGAAAACACTCTCCTATCGATCCTATGAAGATTGGCGATGACATTATGATGGGTTGAAGTAAATACCTGCAGCTTCCAATGCGCAATTGAAGATGTAAGAGAGGATACGAAGGTGGCAGGCTCCATGGGCTCAGTGACGTGGACGATCACACCTCCGTAATGATCATTCACTGCATTAAGCACCTTCTTCATCTCCCTTCCACCACCACCACCACTTTCAGTTTTGGCAGCCATTGATGACGATCCACGAGGAGCACAGGGCTGACCAATGTTAGTTAGGAGAGGCGTCGGTAGCCGTTGTTGACCAAAAATTAAAAAGGAACAGAGGAATGGGCACGCACGTGGCATGTAAGATTATCACGCAATAGGCACGTGATCCACTGACAAAATAGGTGACCTCCGTAAATTCAGGTTTTAAGGGGCCTTTTACCTCTGTTTTACTTTCCATTTACCGAAGTTGATTCCGTTCTAAACCCAAAAACCCTCGCACGAGCCGCTGTCACCTTTCCCCGGCTTTACCTCCATTTTTATTTTTAAATAAATATGTAAAATAAATTAAATTTCTCATTTTTACCGTGGTCGTCCCCCGGGGGCGACAAGTTTATGGAACAGTTCACCGGCGGGCGGCAGGTACCCAACCCTGACGTCTTTGGAGAGCAGATATCCCCGTTCCCTGAGAGCACAGACGAGCTTATGTTCGAGAATCCGTGGCCTGCGGTTCCCTCGCCGACCCAGAAGCTGCGTCCTGTTAGGGGCAGCGGCGGCAGGTCTCCGATGGACAGTGAAAGAAAGCTGGAGTATGTTGGTCCGGCCAAAGTTGGGTCGGGAGACGAGGTGGAGGACGAGTCCCGGTCAGTCTTCAACTCCGAAGATTGAATCTTTTGTTCACCGGACCAATCAAATCAAGATTTTTGTTTACGTTTTTCATAATTTTGTGAACAGTAGGGTTTGGATTAATGGGATTGTGGTCTTTTTAGCTTAATTTATTATATTCCAACCAAAAATGGTTTTGATACGACATGTCCTGTTTGTATAAGCACGTGATGATGTGGTATCGAACTTCAATGATAAATAACGGATGTGACGTGGTTATTAATAATTTTATTAGTAACGTACTTATTTGTTATTAGTGAAACATCTAAATTGGTTTAAAAAGTTTTGTTATTAGTGAAACGTCTAAATTGGTTTAAAAAGTTTGTCTACTTAGCATTAGATAATTGTTTTGCTTTGCTGGCCTATAAAGTTAAAAGATAATTGTTGGTTTGCATGTTCCTACATATTATGGTCGGTCTTATTGCCCGTTTGAAGGTTGGTTAGTGTGTATTTATTAGTACCAGTTTAACAAAGTGTTGTTTGTTGTAATGTATATTGTTTTAATCAGAGTGTTGTCTATTTTCGTTCTCACCAGTTGATGATGATCGTGACAAGTATTTAAAAGCACAAGGTGAAGAACCCGTGAACCGGAAGAGAAAGACAAGTCCGAGGAGCGGAAACGGGCTTGAAATTGAAAGGGTCGAGGAGGGCCGGTCCAGAGATTTTTGAGGCCCGGGACGACATAAAAAAAAGTGCCCTAACTTCAAGTAAGAAAATTATTTATTTTCACACATAAGACATCGAAAAAATTATACTTAGAAAAACACTTCAAACTCAATAATTTAGAAACACAGAAAAACTAATTTATTTTGTATTGATAGAAGGAAACAAAAAAACTTTGGCCTTACAAGTAGATAGATGATGAGTTTTGTTTTCCATCTGAATTTTGAATATGTTTTTGAATAAATCATGAAGTTTTTTTATTTTATTTACTAACCTTGTCAATATGGGACTAAAAAATAATGATGTTTTCGAGTCTTTAATTGATATGTATTATTAATGAATGGGCACTAAATTAAACATTTTGATGACACGTCGTACAATTTGCAAATTTTGTCTACGTATTATTCTTTATTGAAGATTAGACTTGAATTAAAACGAATATTTAAAAATAACAACCCACATAGCTACTAGATAGTAACTAAAAATAAATTACCAACCAAACAAAAATTTATAAAAATTGAAAAGAATAAACATGCACATAGCATTTTGAACTTAGGACCTCTTGTTAATTTTAAACAACAAAAATCATTGTTTCTAATTAAACTTCTTGATCCTTTAACCAAATTTCTAAATTTATACTCTTATAAAAAGAAATTTGTAAAAAAAGGAAAATAAATAAGCACATATGGTGTTTTGAACCCAAGACCTCCTTATTATTTTCAAATAACAAACCATCACTTCTAGTTAAATTTCTATGTCTTTGAACCAAATTTTATAAATTTATACTCTTATAAAAACATATATAAATATACCGCCCTAGTAATTTTGGTGCCCCTAATTTTTTTGGACCCTGGACGGTTGCCCCACCTGCACTGGGCCTGGGCCGGCCCCGTCGAGCTATTTCTGGGAAGTCTGGTGAAAAAAAAGTGATGGAGCAGCAAGAGCAGATGCATAAGCAGTTAATAGAGATGGTAGAAAAGAAGGAGAAAGAGAGATTAGCAAGAGAAGAAGCCTGGAAGCAGCAGGAGTTAGAAAGACTGAAAAGGGATAAGGAGATAAGAGCCCAAGAGACATCTCGCAACCTTGCGCTCATTCCTTTATCCAGAATTATTTGGGCTATGAAATTCAAGTCCCCCAACCATCACCAGCAACAGCACCCGAACGAACACCAGCACCAACAGCAGTACCAATACCAATATCGGTAGTACCTAAATATGATCACCAACGCGTGGAAGGAAATGGGAAGGCAGACAATGGCATGCAGAGAGACCTGATGTTGGTGAGCCATAGTGATGCAACGAATAGAAGATGGCCAGAAGCTGAAGTACAAGCCCTCATAACGCAGCGGGCTGCTTTCGAACACAAGTTTCGCGTTGCAGGTACTCCAAAGGGACGCATATGGGAGGAGATATCTGTTAAGATGCATGAAATGGGCTACGTCCGGTCAGGAAGGAAGTGCAGGGAGAAATGGAAAAACATCAACAAGTATTTCAGAAGGTGCATGGGATCAGACAATAAGCGCCCTGCAAATGCCAAGCTTTGTCCATATTTTCATGAATTGGAGTTGCTCCAAAAAAGTGAACTTGTAAGTTTCGGGAATGGCTTTAACCGCACAATCAACCAGAACGAGGCCAATATTGAAAAACAGTAGCAAAAGAGTGAAGGAGTGATGACGGTATTCAAAACATCTTCTAACTTGTAATTTTGATAACGGAGAGAGAGAGAGAGATGAATGCTGCTCTGATCTTTTGATGGATGGCTAATTGATGTTTAATTTTGTGGGTTGTATTGTTATCTTATATCTCTGGTGATCTGGTGAAGAAGTTGTATCTCGATTACTTTTTATATCATATTGACATTTAACTTTGTATCTCGATTGAACTTTTTATTGCACTTAGCAGAGGCGTGGTGTTTGCTTTGCTAATTGAAAGGGGTTAGAAAGAAATAGACGATGGAATTGCAAACAAACAAATTAAATGATCCCGTCGCTTCGATCAGGGATTTCGTTAGTTATATTTCACTGCCGCCGGGTTATTCATTATTCAGACGAAGTTAACATTCAAACAACATTCAGAAACAGAAGAAGAAATGAATTTGGGATCATTAATTTTAAGTGCAGATTAACATGTGCTTAACGTGACTCGGCCATAATACAATTAATGGATGAAAGAAAGAAGACGGATAAAATAAAAAGTAAACCAAGCAAGTAGTAGACATCCATTAATTAATCATGTCATTTATTTAAGGGTAAACAATCATACAATAGATTGCATGTTATTATGCATATAGATATAGGACATGATTGCAGCGCCATTGGCATGATTCAAGCCTGGTTCATAAAGAACCAAACCGCTCCCAAAATGATGGGGATGACCAGGATCAGAGCAAGAGCAGGAGGGTGCAGCGGACCCATCAGCAGAGGCGCCAACAACACAATGGCCGCCACCAAAAGGAATACCAGAATGGAGACACTCACTTGATCCATATTTTCTTCAAATTATAATACCAACAGTTGAATGGCGATGAATGTTGAGGAAGAGTGGTGGTGGTCGGGGTGGCGGTGGTGGTGGGGGTGTATATATAATGTGCATGGTGTCTGTCTGTGCAGGCATACAACGATTGGGAAACGATGCCATGCAAATGAAACCCCTCAGTCCCTGCCTGATCAGCGTGTAAGGGGAATCGTTGCCTTGCCGGCGGTCCGGTTAGAGACGTACTCTCTCACGAAATTAAATTAATAAATTCGCTGCTGTATATCATAATAATCTATTTTCTGATGAAAAAATCGCATTATATATTTGAAGAACAAGTCCTAAACTGATGATCGCAAGCCCAAATGAATACGCGGCGCTACCTGCAACTACGGATTGCCACGTGGGTTGTAGTTTAGAGCAGTATAAAGGTAGATCCTTGCCAAGTAATAGCTTGTTCAAACTTGACTCGAGTCTTCTCCTCTTTCAAAAACTGTTGAGAGAGAGAGAGAGAGAGAGAGAGAGAGAGAGAGAGAAAGGCAGATCAGGGCAGGAAAATATAATGGAACGATCAGGAGGTTTCCATGGCTATCAAAAGACCACGACTACCCCAAACACAACCTCTGCTTCTGGTAAAACTATTCTTCCTTAATTTTCTTAATAGAAAACTAGATTTTAATCCCTAAAGAAGATGAAGATTAGAAAAATATCTCATACAAGATTAAAATTTGATTTTAGTCCTAGACTCTATTAAATGTCAGCATATGTATTCAATGTCTCTATTTTTTATTTATAATTTTGTGGTGTTCATAAATTAAATATTATGAAAATATATAAATTTTAATTCTTATTTTGGTGAGTATCTTACATAACATAAGAAAATATTTTCGTAGAGATTTTTCAGTACACTTATGTTTTTGTATATTTTCTTATGGACCACTAATTCATTACAATATATTTAGATACGAACATTTCGGTACACTGAGTTAGTATAATATGTTTAGGTACGAACATTTAGGTATACTAGTTTAGTATAATATATTTAGGTATCGACTTTTTGGTACACTAGTTTAGTATCATATAGTTAGGTACGGAATTTTCGGTACTTATATTTTTGCATATTTTCTTATGTGCCACTAATTTACTACAATATATTTAAGTACAGACATTTAGGTATACTAAATTAGTACAATATATTATGATGCGGACGTTTAGGTACACTAATTAGAGAAAATTAAATAAAATTAATAAATTGAAATGTGTATAATAATAAATATAAAATTTA